GAGCGGCCATGTCCCACGGCCCCAAGCAGCCCGGCGCGGCCGCCGCGTGAGTGCGACACCCCTCCCCCCAGCCCACTGGGGGCTTCAGCCTAGGCCCCCGGCCCCGTCGGAGCTCCTTGACCCTCGCCCCCACAAGGGTTTTGGCTTCCCCAACCTGAGGCAGGCCCTCCCCCTCCTCGGGTCCCCATGGGTTTCTTCCCCCAAGCCTCCGGGCTCCAATCCCTTTCAGGGGTCCCCTACTGCTCCTCGCTAGTTCTCCTGTCCAGACCCCCAGATCCTGACCCCCTCAGACCCTTGTTCTCAGAACTCAGGCCCCTCGCTGCCAGGGCCGCCGTCGCGGGGGTATGAGCCTGGCGCCCCGTGGCTCCCCCTAGTGCTTCTATCTTGACCCCCGGATCCTGACCCCCTTGGGCCCCTCCTCTGAGGACTCAGGCTCTTCACTGCCAGCTCCGCCGTCAGGGGTGGGGAGTCCGGGTGACCCTGGCTTCCCGTGGCTCCAGGCCGGCGAGCGGCAAGGCTCCAGGACAGCATGGGGGCTTCGTGGTGGCTGTCAAACAAGAGCGCGGAGAGGTCCCTCGGGCCGGAGAGAAGGGGTCGCACGAGGAAGAGGTGAGAGTCCCTGCACTGTGGTGGGAGAGGGCCCCAAGCTTTGAAGCTCCGCCCGGAATTCGATTTGAATTCTCTGTGGCTCCGCCCACAGTCCAGATTTCCCTTCCGATGCTGAGACCCCACCCTGTGCCAGATACCACGCCCCCAAGAGCTCTCCTGCCATTCTAAGTCCAGGCCTCGCCCACCCACCACCGAATGCCATCTCCGCCCACTGCGCAGGGATTTCCTTCACCGAAGCCACGACCACACCAGAGGCCACGCCCACAACACACGGCAGCCTCATTCCTGGGCTGATCCTCTGTCCCAAGTACTTCTGATCCCTTCACCCCTGGCCAGGGTTCCCCTAACCCCACTCTCCCAATCTTGAATCCTGACCTGGCCGTACCTCCCGGACTTCTGGGTCCTACCTCCCGGTGGGCCACGCCCAAGTCTTCCAGAGACCCTCCCCCTTTCCCTCTGGGCCCCGCCCCAGCCCTCAGGCCCTTCCCAATGGCGCGGCTGGGTTCTGCAGCCCGTGAAGAAGCGCGGCTGGCCCAAGGGCAAGAAGCGGAAGAAGATCCTGCCAAATGGGCCAAAGGCACCGGTCACCGGCTACGTGCGCTTCCTGAACGAGCGGCGCGAGCAGATCCGCACGCGCCACCCGGACCTGCCCTTTCCCGAGATCACCAAGATGCTGGGCGCTGAGTGGAGCAAGCTGCAGCCAGCGGAGAAACAGGTGGGGACGGCCTGGGACCACTGACCTCCCCACCATCCACTCAGACACCCACACGCAGCCATTTACCCCAAAGGACTGGATGTGAAGGGTCCTTCCTTCCGTTTGGAGAATTGACCACCCATTAGCTCTCTCCAGCTTGTTGAAGGGAGGGGAAGATTGCAATAGGCAGGAGTAGAAGTAAAACTTAACGTTATACTAAAGAAGTAGGGATGGGGGCTGGATTTTCCTTGGAAACCTTCAGATTTTCAAGTCCTGGTAATTAATTCAGAACTGCAAAAACATCAAGGAAACAACAAAAAGCACCACCAGCTTGAACCCTCTATGTGGGATTTTAACATGCAGAGTGAGTCTGGCCTGGAGGTGAGGGCATGCAGCACTCAGACACCAGAGAGTGGTTTATAAAGGCTGGAATTGGGGTGAGGTAGGTGAGGTCAGGGAGCTGGGAGGTGGCCTGAGCAGCAGCCTGAAGGGCGGGGTTTTGTTTGGAAGGCAGTACGGAGCTGTGGGAAGGCTCACCACCGTGAGCTGAATGATGGACATGGGGTCTTGGCCTTCGAGGCCTTGCTTGCACTGGGCTGGGCCAAGCCTTCTCTTGCTGCTTCCGCCAGCGGTACCTGGATGAGGCCGAACGGGAGAAGCAGCAGTACATGAAGGAGCTGAGGGCGTACCAGCAGTCAGAAGCCTACAAGATGTGCACGGAGAAGATACAGGAAAAGAAGATCAAGAAAGGTGCGAAGAGCCCTAGCCCCCAGGCAGCTGAGTAGCTGCTCTGAGGCAGGTGACCCAGGCAGAACGACCACCCTCTCCGTGGGGCTCTCATGGTCCCCTGGGAATGAGACACACATAACCAGACAGTTGCAAGTGAAGAGGGCTTGATCGGCCCTGAGATGGTGTACACACAGACACTGGGGGGCCCAGGTGGGGAGCCTGACCCAAGATGAGCAGGGTTGATTAGGGGAGGGGAATGATGGTGTTCCAGGCAGGGGAAACAGCACGTGCAAAGCAAAGCATGGGGTCAGAGGAGACCTGGGAGGCTGACCCTGCCCTCCTCCCTCCCCCACCAGAGGACTCCGGCTCTGGGCTCATGAATACCCTTTTGAATGGACACAAGGTAAGCTCCCCTCCTCCAAGGAGAACACCTGGGCGAGAAAGGTCTGGAGGTATTTAGACCCCTGGGTGAGCCAGGACCAAAGCTTATGGAATGAAGTGAACCCCCGGTCCAGATGTGTGCAAGCAGAAGCCAGGCAGCCACACAGTGGGAAGGCTGTTACACGGACTCTGATCCAGGTCGCCTGAGGAGACCCTCCCAAGCTTAGGGGATGTCCCAGAGGGGGTTTGGTTGCCCCTCAGTCCCCCCAAAATTGCCACTTTGTCCTGTCGTCCCAGGGTGGGGACTGTGACGGCTTCTCCACCTTCGACGTCCCCATCTTCACTGAAGAGTTCTTGGACCAAAACAAAGGTGAGCACTGACCAGGGGTTCTTGGGGGAGCAAGTGTCGGGAAACAGGCTGGGTCAACAGAGCTCCACAGTGGGTGCCTTCCTCCCCGCCCCCTCCCGTAGCCCAGGGAACTGAGGTGTGAGCTAGAGGCAGAGCAGTGACGGAAGGCCTGGCGCGGGGGCACAGCTCTGGCAAAGGCCTGGCAGAGGGGAGGCGGGGAAGCAAGCTCCAGGCTCTGACCCGGCACCCCGCCTGCAGCGCGGGAGGCGGAGCTGCGGCGCCTGCGGAAGATGAACGTGGCGTTCGAGGAGCAGAACGCGGTGCTGCAGAGGCACACGCAGAGCATGAGCAGCGCGCGCGAGCGCCTGGAGCAGGAGCTGGCGCTGGAGGAGCGACGGACGCTGGCGCTGCAACAGCAGCTCCAGGCCGTGCGCCAAGCACTCACTGCCAGCTTCGCCTCGCTGCCGGTGCCAGGTGCAGAGGCCCCGCCCCCAGCCGTCCGCCCGCCCCGCTAACTCCGCCCTTGATACCTCAGGCCCCGCCCAGGCTACCGCGAGCCCCGCTCTTTCTGATCCCGCTCGGGGATCCCCTATCCGCCTGGTCCCTGCCTTCTCGCACAAGCCCACACCTCCCTGCCCCAACCGCCGCGCCTCTGAGGATCCCGCCCCGCCTTCTTTGAACCCAGCCCGCGCCAGCCCCGCCCACACTGGCCCTTGCGCCCCGCCTCTAACCCCTTCCCCTGTACCCGCCTTCCGCGTTCTGGCCTTGGCTGACCTAGACCTAAGCTAACTTCCCCTCCCCCACTCGCCCCCGTCAGACCCCCCTCTCTCCAACTTTCATCTTCTGACCTTTGCCCACAGCTGATCTTGACTTCCCCAGGTCCAGACTCCCTGACCGCACCCACCCGACCCCACTGACCCTCGCCAGTGGCCCCCTCCCCAGGGCCCCACCCTTACAGACCCCCACCCTCTGACCTTTGCTTCCGTGGAGCCCCCACCACGGTGACTCCCCCGCTGGGCTTGGCTGACCGGTCCCTCGCCTCCCCAGGCACTGGCGAGACTCCGACACTCAGCACCCTGGACTTCTACATGGCCCGGCTACACGGCGCTATCGAGCGCGACCCCGCCCAGCACGAGAAGCTCATCGTCCGCATCAAGGAGATCCTGGCCCAGGTTGCCAGGTGTGTGCCTGGCCAGGTCTGCGCCCCGGGATCGCTCACCCCAAGTGGGGCTGCTTTGCGTGGAGGCTGCTAAAGCTAGACCTGCTCCGGCGGGACCTGGCAAGAACGACTGGCTTTAGCCCCCTAGCGGGGTTTCTGGGGTCTCTGGGCGCAGCAGAGTGGGATTCGGCTGCCGGATCTTATTCCGAGGCCCCTGCCCATGTGGGATCCACCAGGTGGGGATGGTTTGATGCAGGTGGCTAATGACAGAGCCGCTGGGGGGCGCTGATGAGGCTGCTACTATATTAAATGCTGCTGGGTGGGATCTAGCAGCACCGTCTTGGCCCCTGGAGACCGGAATTTCCCCCGAAGCTTCTTGCTGGGTTTTTCTGGGTGGCTGCCACCTGCCCAGATTAGGTGGGATCAACTCCAGGGCCCCTGCCCTAGCATCTGAAGGCACAGCTGACCTTGACTGAGGAGGGCGGCCTCTAGGGTACCCAGGGTGAGGGTGAGGGCTGAGAGATGTCGGGGATCCCCCATCACGAATCTCCTCTCTTCTGTCACAGTGAGCATCTATGAGAGTGTTGGCCGCCCCACGGATCCACAGAAGACTAAGCTCCGGTCTCCGCCCCTCCCCCAGCCCCACCCAGTAGCAGAGGGGTGGGGGGGGTCCATTCTTTGGGGCCAGGCCCGATCCTGCACCTTGGGGGCTACAGTCCCCCTAAAATTAGATTTCTCCAGCACCCCTCTAGCTTTCAATATCCCCAGCACCCCAACCCAGAAAAATCACCCACCGTGCACAGCACACATTGAACCCTGGGGCCCAGCGAAGCCTGCTCACCTCACACTGCAGGGATGTGGGAACACCACGCGTGGACAGTGTAAGCCAGGACAGGAGGAGTCCCACAGCAAGTCACACACCTGGTGTGGGGAGAGTTACATACCAGCCCCAAGACCCAGGGTGGAGAAAACCCACAAATGACACACTGGGACTCCTGGCAGGCGTCACCACAAGCGCCCACATGGGCAGGCACCCTGCAGGGCCACTCACACTCCTGGCGGGGCCCTCTACCCGTTTCTCTTCCATTCCTGCACCACACAATGGGGAGGGGGGCTGGTACCGACCTACTGTCCACCCCACCCTCATCCAGCTGAGGGACCCTCGTGGAGGCGGCCCCTTTGCCACTGCTCAATCGGGCTTGTTAAATAAAAAATTTAAAAAGTGGAATTTGAATTTCAAGCTTGTGAGTGTGTGTGTATGGTTTTTTTTTTTTTTTGAAGGGGAATGGGCTAGAAGCCCCTGTTAGGGGTCCCAGGTCCACCCTCCCTAGCCGCTGGCAACCACTGATCCACTTTCTGTCTCTGGATTTACATGTTCTGGATGTTTCTTATAAACGGAATCACACACTGTCCTTTTGTGTCTGGCTTCTCTCTCTGAGTATCATGTCCTCAAGGTCCATCCACATAGCAAGTCTGTGCTTCACTCCTTTTTCTAGCTGAGTAGTATTCCATTGTACAGATGGACCACACTTTGTTCATCCATCAACCATCAATGCACATTTGGGTTGTTTCCATCTTTTGGCTGTTGTGCATTGTGCTGTTGGGAATACACACGTACAGCTTTTTGTTTGAACACCTGCTCTCAGTTCCTCTCGGTAAATATCCAGGAGCAGAACTTCTGGGTCAGATGGTGATTCTATGCTTAACTTATTGGGGAACCCTCTCAGAGACTTCAGCCTTTAATGGAATATTTGAGTCATTCTAAAAATTCTGGAGACCTGCTTGACAAACGCTGGTGTTGTAGGTTGAATTTTGTCCTCTCAAAAGAAAATGTCAAAGCCCTCACCCCAGAACCTCAGAATGCGACCTTATTTGGAAATAGAAGAGATAAGCAGTCAAGATGAGGTCATCCTGGACTAGGGTGGGCCTCTAATCCAATAGGACTGGTGTCCTTATAAGAGGATAGAGGTTTGGACACAGACACAAAGAGGAGGAAGCCACGTGACAAGAGATGCAGACGCCGGAACAAAGCAGGAGGCTGCAAAGCACCAGAAGGCAGGAGGCACGGGAAGGATTCCACCCAGGGCCTCAGACCCACCTTGGTCTCGCTGACAAACTGATTTCCAGGCTCCAGAGCTGCGAGAGAATATATTTCTGCTGTTTGAAGCCACCGAGTTTGTGGTACTTTGCCATGGAGGCCCCAGGAGACGAGCACAACTGGATATGGTCACATTCCCCCATCCAGATGTGCTGTCTCTCCTACCACCCCCTCACCCCAGATTTGACGTTCACCACTCCTGGGCAGGTCTTTACATACTTTGAGCATATAAGGGTGTCTTCCTACAAGAGTACCATTTTGACGGGTGCTTTCTTTTTTCGTTCATTTTTTTTTAAAGTTTTAAAGTGCACAATTCTGAGGTTTCTAGTATAGTCACCAAGCTGTGCAATCATCAGCACAACCTAATTCCAGAACATTTTCATCACCCCCCAAACAACCCCTGTCCCCGTTAGCAGTCACTCCCCATCCTCCCTTCCCCCACCAGCAATCTCGACCCACTTTCTGTCTCTATGAATTTGCCTGTTGTGGACACTTTGTATAAATGGAATCACACGCTATGTGGCCTTTGTGTCTGGCTTCTTTCAATGAGCATCACATTTTCCAGGCTTATCCATGTTGTAGCACATAAGGGTATAGCTTTTTGCAAGTTTTTAAACTTTACATACATTTTTTTACATAGTCCAAAGCTTTCTGCAACTTGCCTTCTTCCATCAATGCTTGGTTTCTGAAATTCTTCCAAGGCAGGAGGCTCCTCTTCTGAGCTGCTATACGGCATTCCACTGCTGTTTATTGAGCCAGCATTCCCATTGGTGGATGCCTAGATGCTGTGTTCCCAGGGGATTCTGACAGATGCCTCCTGGTACCCAGAGCCTCTCTTTTCATCTGTAACCTGATGTGCCCAGGCACTGGGGACTGGGATACAGCAGGGGTAAAAAGAAGACCAGAACTCTTGCCCTCCTGGAGCTGACATTCCAGTTGGGGAGGCAGGAAACGCAAGATGAATCAATGAAATATCTGCTATGTCAGAGGAAGAAAAAATGCCAGGAAGAGAGATTTGGAGGTGGTGAGAGGAGGTGATATTTGAGCTGAAGGAGGTGAGGGAGTGAACCACTTGGAGACCTGGGAGTCGTTCCAGGTATACGGGCACAGCCTGTGCAAAGTTCCTGAGGCCTGGTGTGTTGAATAAACATCAAGGAGGCTGGGCTCCTGCAGCTGGAGCAGAGTGGAGGAGGGAGAGAGGGAGGAGGGCAGGGAAGAAATGAGGCAGGTTGTCCAGGCCCTTGAGGGCTGCTGGGAGGACTCAGGTTTGTACCTGAAAGAAGGTGGGAGCCTGGAGGGCTGTGGGCAGAGGATGTACACAGTGTGGCTCAGCTTACACCAGAGAAACCGTCCTCCCCACCTCCTAGGGTTATTGCAAGGATTAAATGAGTGTGCCCAACAGAAAGTGAACACTTGGGCACAGGTAGCTGTCCCCATTCTTATTCATGGCCCTTATCCCCTCCCCCGCCCCTCGCCGCTCCCCTAAGAGAGCACAGCTGGCCCTGGCAAGGCCAGTACACCTGGTGCCCGCCCCACCCCACCCCGCCTCAACATCCCGCGGTGTCGCCTTCCCGGGAGGCTCCGGTTCCTGGATCCCCTTACCCGGGCGTCTCGGCTGTCGCGCCCTGA